CGACCTCGGCTCCTCCCTCCCCGCCGCTGCCGCCGGTAATACCTTATCTCACATGTTAAACCCTATTGTATGTGTAAGGGGAAATTATTTGAATTCTCTTGCGTGAAAGCAAAAACCCTGAAGCTTAATTTTGGTTTCTTTATCTCATTTTGCAATTGGAATTTGGCTGTGGAACTATTTTTAAGGCCTTTGTGTGGTGAACTTGAGAATTTTATTGGCATTTTGTTATTGCAGTACTTTGAATTTGAACTCTTTGTTTGGCTTTTGTGTATAGCTCTTAGTGCAGAGGATCGTGCTGGTCTTGTTAATGCTCTTAAGGTGAGGTTCTTTTGCCATGTTGTAATTTTTTCAATAGCAAGAAAGATATGTGGTTGCTGTTTCTTGTGGTTCTTATGATGATCATCGTATGGTTAAAATTCAAGTTTGGTAGTGGAAATAAAAACAAGTTTTTTTATTTTCTTTTAAGACTTCCGGTAGGTTTGGATAGTAAATTTAAAGTTTTTATATAAATGAATTGAATTATGTTCAAGCGAGCAAAAGTAATCCAAAAGATCAAGTTTTTCTTTCCACAGTTCTATTAAAAAAATTTAATCACTTATTGGTGTGGTCTGCCAGGGTCCTATTTTCTTACTGGTAATTCTTTTTTAGTTACTCATTGTTGGTGTTGTTTGCAGAATAAGCTTCAGAGCTTGGCTGGACAGCATACTGACATATTGGAAACTTTGCCACCTTCGGTCAGGAAGCGTGTTGAGGTTTTGAGAGAGATACAGGTTTGTCTGCCTTCAAATTTCATTACATAAGTGTTATTCTGAACTTTTGTACCAAATCCTAATTTTATGGATGAGTATAACCTAAGATTGAGAATAAACAATAGGATCAGTAGAAATAAATTTGTGCTCAATCATAGAGCTCCTGAGTACCCCATATATGTCCATATCTTGCAGGGCCAACATGATGAGCTGGAAGAGAAATATTTTGAGGAGAAAGCTGCATTGGAAGCAAAATACCAGAAGCTTTATGAACCTCTCTACATAAAGGTATGCAGTTTCTCAATAGGCATTTAGGTCTTATTACTTTGATGTTATGCTGTCTTATAGTTTAGAAATTTTCGTGTTTAAAATTCATCTGAAGTTGAGTTTTGTGAATTGGCTTTAAACGTGCTGCTATATCCAAGGATGATGTATGTGCCTTTCTGGTTAATGTGACGGTTGATTGCAGAGATATGACATTGTTAATGGTGTAACTGAAGTCGAAGGAGTGAAAAATGAAGATGCACCAGACCAAGAAGGAGATAAGGCCACTGAAGGTACCTCTCAAAATTCAAATCTTTAATGATTTCATGCACTACCCTTGAGTTTGATGTTGGATTATTCCTTTTGATGTAGAGAAAGGAGTGCCTGACTTTTGGCTCACCGCAATGAAGACTAATGAAGTACTTTCTGAGGAGGTGGGTGATTTTATTAGTCATTTACTGTGCTCATTTCTTGAATTGATTATGGAAATATAATAAGCTGTTTCCTGGAATAGATCACAGAGCGTGATGAAGGTGCACTCAAGTATCTCAAAGATATCAAGTGGTGTAGGATAGACAAGCCAAAAGGATTCAAGCTGGAGTTCTTCTTTGATCCTAATCCGTATTTCAAAAATTCTGTCCTGTCCAAAATATATCACATGATTGATGAGGACAATGAGCCTATTTTAGAAAAGGCAATTGGGTAATTTTCATATCTGTTTTACTGAATTTTTCCCCCTTTTTCCCCTCTAATTCTTAAGTTGGGTTACCTTGTAGGACTGAGATTGAATGGTATCCTGGGAAAAGCTTGACACAGAAGCTTCTCAAGAAGAAGCCAAGAAAGGGATCAAAGAATGCGAAGCCCATGACCAAAACTGAAGATTGTCCAAGCTTCTTCAACTTCTTTAGCCCTCCTCAGGTCCCTGATGACGATGATGATATCGATGATGATACTGTAAGTTTGGTTTCATTCATGATATCGAGGCTATTGAACTGGTTAATGATGATATAAGCAAGTTATTTTAAACTCTGATGTTTACACTTTACGGTGACAGGCTGAAGAACTCCAAAGCCAGATGGAGCAGGATTATGATATTGGGTACGTTAATGATATTTTTTCTTCTTTAATGCATACTGTGTGGTTTCTCTGACATTTAGCAAGGCAGTAGATGTTGGCAAAACAATAATTTTGTATTATAGATTGGATTTGTTGTGAATTTGGTGAAGTCTGATCAGTTAGTTGGGATGAGTCTTGTAAATTAAAAATGCAGTTCAAAGAGCTGGAATTGTAACATTAGGAAGAGATGGAAATTGACAATGTACTCAGGATGCTTGAAGAAGGATCACATAACATATTGTGTACATCACATTCTACATAAACAAATTGTCATGCACAAGAAGTAAATAATGGCATTGTATTGACACATCCAAGTACTCATAGTTTCTATGCATGGGAAGCTGTATGGCATCCTACCTATCTTATAGTTTGTATTGGTATTCTGTTGACTTGGTACTGGTGTTATGTATAGTTCAACAATTCGAGACAAAATCATTCCTCATGCAGTATCATGGTTCACTGGAGAGGCTGTTCAAGGGGATGAGTTTGAAGATTTAGAAGATGACGATGATGATGACGTTGATGAGAATGATGATGATGATGAGGAGGAAGAAGAGGAAGATGGTGAGGACGACGATGACGACGACGATGATGATGAGGAAGAGGAAGATAAGGGCAGGAAAAAGGTATATATAAATAAAAATGTATAGATAGGGCATAACATATACAATCTGCAGTTTTCATTCATTATGATATTAGAATGTTGTATTAAGTTTTAAGTTGTCAAGCCTGCTAATATATCCATTTTTATTGGATTTTGCAGCCATCTGCTGGATCTAAGGTGTGATGATTTAACAGTTGTATGTTCTTTTATTTTTATTTTTGTAATTTTAAGATTTTCAGCAACCCTCACTCAGGGTTAATGACTTATTACCTGAATTACCCTGTTCAATTGCAGAAAAGTGGTAGGGCACAAGGTGCGGAAGGTCAGCAAGGGGAGCGCCCTCCCGAATGCAAGCAACAATAGTGACAGTTATGAATAGACGGGCTTGCGTGGGTGGCTTCTGCTTCTTGAGAGTTGAGTGTTTGATATTCCTTGGTATTGTTTGGGGTAAATCGTTACCCTCTGGTGCTTTGGGTTTTATTGCTTCTGTTGGATGTTTAGGTTGGCCAGTGCTGTCTATGTCCTATGAAACCCTAAGTATATTTATTGATACATTTCTCTTTCATTGTTTGTTTATTAAATATAGCAAATGCAACATGCTTTTGTCATCCTGTCACTCCGATAAGCACATTTCTTACATTTTCCGACCATATTACTAATCACATCTCTCACGTGGTATGTATTAACGGCTACGCTTTTGCATCCTCGCGGATCACCATGAAGTTGCATAAAATTCCCAGTCATATCTCAACCCTGCATCACCCCCCAGTGATCCCCTGCTCATGTTTAGTACCATCTAAGCTGGCTTTCAGGACATGCTTAACCTCAAACCCATTTGTCGATGTGTCAAATTGACACGGGATCAAAACCTGAAAACTCTCAGATTCCAGTGCTATTGGCCCAATGAACTGAATGAATCAGAGATGGGTGTAGGCTTACCCAAGTTTTGGATTGTTGGGCGACTGAAGATAGGTTTGATACATTCACAACAGTTATTAAAAAGATTAGCAAAAATATCCTAAAATCATAGCAAGACCTCAAAATAACTGACCATTAGGATCTGTGCACACCCATTTGTCCCATTCATGACCACCAGGAGATTCACGTCAAACTAGAAAACCAAGAAACCAGAGACAAAATGTCAAGAGTCGCAAGTTAAATCAAGATATGTGTGAATTCCAAAAAAATAAAAATAAAAATGGGTGTAGATATACCATTGATCCAATTCTTGGAGAGGTTGGGATGAGACTTAAAGCTCAACAGCACCTTGGTCTTATGGTGCTTGTGGAGAGAAACTTCCCTGTCCCGGTGCTAATGTCTCTTTCTTCTTATCTCTCTTCATGATTTAACAAAAAAAGGGAGATATTAGCTCCGAGGTAGGGAAGGATTTTTCGTGGTTTTGAGGAACATTGAGAAACGAAAGGATAGTGTGGTTTTATCTGGGCACACATATAAGAGAAACCAAGGTGTGGCTGGTCTAGCTAATGGAGACTAAGTGAGAGGATAAAAGTTACAGCATGTAGATTGTGATTGTTCTTAACCCAAGGAAAATATAAACAACAACAAAGAAGAGGGAAGCTGTGATTATTCTGATTAAAATTTTCAGTTCAATCAACTACAAGGAAGAGGGAAAGGCCACCACAAACTGGCTCTTTGTGGCCCTTGATGATCATATATACTTGAGCACTTTTAAAGAAAAAGAAAAAATATCCAATTGTTGAGCTCCATTTACAGTGATCTAATAGTATGAACTGTCAATTTATAGATCATCTCTTGTAAAAAAAAATCAAATCAAATCAGAATAATTTAGAGATTTTTATTCAAAACCTCATTTTAGCATGACATGTTATACCAAAACTCATATAGAGTTTATTTGGATAAAAAAATCCAACCCCAGCCACTCGTTATTTTCTAATTAGTTCTTCTTCGTCTGTTGAGAAAAATCCAACACCAGCCACTCGTTATTTTCTAATTAGTTCTTCTTCGTCTGTTAAAATTTTATAATAACTAATTAGAAAATGGCAAGTGACTAGTTTTGGGTTTTGGATATTTCTCTCGAAATAGGCTTTATAAGAATTTTTGTATAATATATCATGTTAAAATGAGAGGCCCAGTAATTTAACAAAGAGTGATATATACTATAATTCTTATAATATTCTAGGTTGTAGTAAACAATTGAAAGCTAGTGGGAAACTTGCAGCAATCTCGATATATAATTATTAAGCAGAACCAAATAGTTTTAATAGTCATTAATCTCAATTATGTGGAACCAAGATCATAAGAATGAATAATATTTCCAAGCTTTGCTTCTCCTTCTCCCAAGAGTCCTCTCCACTAGTCGTATATAATTAATTCAATTGATTTCTGCTGTTTTCAAGCTCCATGCACTTCCTGTGATTTTTACATCATCAGTTCCATAATTGAAGGCATACAAGTGGGCATCAACATCAATGGCCAATGTGGGATAAACTCTAGCTGTGATGCACGCCTTCCCTTGTCCGGCAAAGCTCTCCACTACGGAGTGATCTATCTGCAGAAGATGCAAAAATTTGAAATGCATTAGGACAAAATTTCATTATCCTGAAATGGGTAAAAGAAAAAGGATTAACTGAAAATGTATAGGCATGCACATTGCTGAGTAGGGACTATGGGCATAAAGTAGATTTACGTGACTCTGACAGTGAGATTCACATGCATCAGTAATCATAACATAAATTAGTTACGCATTTACGAATCACACAACTAACCGTAGCATTTCTCTATCATAAATATTAAACTATTTTGATTCATTGAAAAGAATCTAGTCTAAGGTGGTCCTAGCACTTAAATGGTGCGATAGGCATCTTTTTAAAGCCCAAACACATCATTTACGGTCAAAATCTTAACTCTGTTAGAAGTTGCTTTGTATACTTTTAGAGTTGTGCTTTTTATTTAATTTCAGCCATATTTGATTTGAAAATCAAACATATATAATATGGTCAATGTAAAAGCGTGAAGGTGGGGTTAGTTTGCATATGAAAGTTTCAAGGAAACTAAATACGGATAGATTCTCAAGGTTTGATGGAAATTTCTGGTGGGCAAGACTTTTCAAACTCAACAGAACTTTCCCATGAATCCAATGTGTGGAGGAGCTCATGATGATGACATAGAAACACTGACTTTTCAACAAAGAAGAATAGCATAAATTGATAATAATAAAAAAAACCCTATTTGATTGGTTCACAGCAACTTACCAAGCTTCTTAGTGAGAGCTTCTCATGCAGAGGATCCACCTTTAGAAAAGCCCCATAAGTGGTCTTATCATTATCCTGATTTAAGGAAGACCTACCAACCAAACAACAAAACAAACATTAAAAAAAAAAGGAGTTAACAATTTGAAGTTTTGTTAGAGAGAGAGAGAGAGAGAGAGAGAGGAGAGAGAGACCTGCTTTGGTCACTGCAGAGGAGTACCACATATTTGTTGTTGTGACCTTTGAATATTCTGTAGAATACTGCTGTGTATTCTTTCAAGCCCTTTGAAGCCAAAACTAGTAACCCAAATGGCCCTAAACCTCCTTTAACTGATGCATTCTTTTGGCTACACAAAAGTTGTGGGTCTGTCCAACTTGGGTCTAGAACTTCTGCTTTCTTAAAATCACTTATTTCAAAAGTAATAGCTACATCTGCCTGTAAAACAAAAGCAAATAATACCAAATTTATGTTTGAAAATGCTTTTTAATATAAAACGTGGCAAAGTGACATTTCAAAATCTATTAAAAAAAAAATTTAAAGGAAAAAGTACCCACCTGTGCTGCTGTGACACCAAGTACTTCATGCACCGATCCACCCTTAAGCACGCTGCTTGGCAACTTGACCCCCTTTTCACGCAGCTTTTCTATTTCAGCTACTGGCCATTGTACCAATTGTTTTCCAGATTTATCAAGCCAGATTTTCCTTGGAATTGCCTGCAAAAGTCAATGCAAATTGCTTAGTTCACAAATTCACAAGCCAGCTAATTGAAGACTATTCAAATAGGCATTGATTGTGATGACCCAAGTGGGTAGTTGGTAGGTCTAGTCCCTTGACCAATTTATAAGTGTTAGAAATCACACAACTTCAACAAAACAGTTATGCGTGTAGCGAGTAATGTTCTCTTATCAGACTTACGTTACGTGCATAAAAGAGTTAATTCAGATTCACAACTTCTTTTCGTGCATATAGCTATCTGTTTATTTTATACCTGAATTCCAGACCATCCCTTCTTGATATCATCCTCCACACTTGAAGATTCATTAATCCAACCCCACAATATCCTACGGTTCTTAGAACTGTCGAAGAAAGTTTTTGAAGCATAAAACTTCCCATAATCATATCTCAAGCCTGCGTCACTCTCCACTGAGCCCTTATCCGGGATATAGATATCCTTGTGAATGTTATATGTCCCAATCGTATAGTACTCTCGCTTAGTGTTGTCCAAGCTAGCCTTGAGCACATGCTTCACATCTGGACCATTTTCTGATGTGTGAAGACCATTTTGCCCCTTAATTGAGACTGGATAAAAATCTGGACACTCCCACATTCCAGTTTTCTTTGCTGAGTGAAGTGGGTGTTTGGCCTTAACCCAGTTAAGGAAATCTTTGCTCCTGTACAGGATAGCAAACCCCGTTTGGTCCCTCTTGCTTCCAATGATGACCCTCCATCTCTTATCTGGGCCTAGCCAAGCAGTGGTTGGGTCCCGAAATGAGCTTGCATTGATTTGGTTGGCTTGGGTGGGTGCCATTAGTGGATTTTGGGGGACCTTGGTCCACTCCCTAAGGTATGGGTCTGAGAGGTTCTTGGGATAGGCCAGGTTTTGGACTTGTTGGTTTTGGGGGTTTATTCCGGTGTATAAAATGACCGGTTTGCCCCCGGGGAGGATCGTGGCGGATCCCGACCAGCAGCCGTTGATATCCGACGGCTGCGACGGGTAGATGGCGGCATCATGTGGGGTCCAGTTAACAAGATCAGTTGATGTGGAGTGGGCCCACACAATGTTCCCCCAAACTGCACCTTTGGGGTTGTATTGATAGAATAGATGGTAAATTCCCTTGTAAATCAATGGCCCTGAAAAAAGAGCAACACACAACAAGGCATTAGCACATTGAGATTAGAGAGTGCCCAAAAAGCCCAAACCAAAATAGGAATATAGAAAGTGTGACTGAAAATATAAACAGCAAGAACATAAAGCCACCAACCATGACCGGTTGACTTGCTATGACATTCATTCAAATCAAATGCATCATCACATATATAGTTTCATAGAAAATGAACCAAACCCAGAAAATGCATAAGAGAGAGAGAGAGAGAGAGAGAGAGAGAGAGAGAGACAAACTAACCATTAGGATCTGAGAGCAACCAAACAAGTCCATTTGTCCATTCCACAATCAGAACAAGTCAAATGTCAAAAACAAGAAGCAAAAAAACAAATGTTAGAGCTATACACAATATAGACAAAGACAGGTGAAGGAACAAAAATGAAAACTGAAAAGAAACAAAAAAAGAGAGCCAGAAATGAAGAGAATTTGTAGGTGAAGATATATATACCATTGATCCAATTCTTGGGAGGCTGGAAATGGTAACCAGTTCTGTAGGGTTCTTTAACTTGGTGGTGTGAGTCAGCTACTAGGGAAGTTTGAAGGTTTCTGTAAACATGGTGAGAAGCTTGAAGCAGAAGAGCCTGGCCTAGCCAAAGAGAGAGAAAACAGTAGAGAGAGAAAGAGGAGATGGCCATGATGGCTTTGCAGGAGTGACAAAATAAGGCAACACTCTGCTGGGTATTTATAGGAGCCGCCTTGCCCATGTGGTAGTAGTTGTCAAGAAAGTCTTGGATTTTTTTTTTGGTGCCTTTTTTTTTGGGGTGGAGTCAAGGATAATAATGAAGGGTTGGATAGTTAGATTTAGACGTGATGATAAAGAATAAAAAATCATTGCAACATGATGCTTCACAAGATATCCAACAAAAAGTATATTTTAAGTTTATAATAGTTAATTATTATTATTATTATTATTATTATTTTAATTATAGAAAGCAAAATGCAGAGAATGGTGAAACATTCAAAATATCAGAAAATGCCTTTGGTTAATTCAAATATTAAGAATTGAAATTATTAATTAAATGAGGATAATATGGTAAATTCACGTTTTTCATATTTAAAAAATAAAAAATAAAAACAAAATCAGATAATATGTCCTACTTTTAGGCCCCGTTTGGTTCACAGAACGAATTTGAGGGAAAATTATTTTTCATGTCATTTCCTAAGGGATGGAAAATGAAATATTCATTTCTCACGTTTGGTAATGCTAAGAAAGTAACCCGGATATATCACTTTATTTTTTTTTCCATGTTTGTTTTGAGTAGGAGTGGAAAATAAAGTTTGTATAAATTTTCAATTATACACATATTAAATCAAATAAAAAAAATGCATTTAATGATATATTGTGATTTTAAATTGTTAATGAGGACAAAATGGTCATGAAAAAATGTTTATTTAATATTGGCTCATTTCCCAAATTTTCCCATGAGGAGGGAAAACAAAACCCAAATTAGGAGGATGACTTTACTTTCTCCCATATTTTTCCATAGGCCAGACAACGATTTCTCATGTCTAATATGAGAAAGCAATTCTCATGAACCAAACTCGGCCTTATGGAACATAACTATCCATATTATCTTTTTTAAATTCTAAAAATAAATTTTTTTTTAAAAAAAAAAAAACCAATTGGCACATGCATGAGCGTGTGTCAGGAGGCTAATTTTAATTATGAGAGAGAAGGATGGAGGAAATTAAGCTGGCGTATGGTATTTGAATAAGAAAAAGTTGCTAACATACAGAACCGTTAAATTGGACAAGCACACAACATACTGTAGACAACCAGTTCTGTCACGTTTTTGGACAGACTCAATACGATTGACTAACCCAAAATCTTCCAAGAGTTGAACTTTTACTTTTAAGCCTTACACTCTAACTGCAATAGATTTTTCCAACGCATTTCATGTATATTACCATAATATAATAATGGTTACTTAGAGCAAGTAAAGAAGTCACTTAAGGCACACACAATGAAAGCGTACATTTAGGGACTGAATATTTTACATTGAGAGAGAGAGAGAGTCAAAACCCGTACAAACGTTTAGTTTTAGTAAGGGCATATATGGAAATATAATTAATATATTTTTTATAATTAATGACATTATTGTAATTGAGAAACAAATAACACATGTCATCAAGAGAAGAAAGAAAGTTCAAAAGAGAAGATTAGAGAGAAAATTGCTAGAATTATTAAGTTCATCAAACATGAGACATGACCTCGGTTCTTTGTAGAATGCATTTGAGGACTCTCCGAGTCTCGTGTTCCTTTTATAATTCCTATCCAAAAGTAAAGAAATGGGCCTCCAAGATAATTTGTGCATAGAAAACTTCCCTCATAAAACGAACAACTTTGATAAGACCTAATGCCTCTCATATCATGGATAGCAAGCATCTTACATGATGAGATTGAAAGCTTAGTCCGTGATAAGACATTATTCCAACAAGATGGGACATTTAATTCGATTCTCAAGTCCACCCCAACTCTACAGTACTAAATTGAGCTTTTTTTTGAAAATGGATTGTGAGAAAAATTGGTAAACCCCCATTTCCTACTGACTTGTGGTTTGGATTATAGTTTTGTAGACAATGTTCAAAAATTTTGTGGTTTGGATATTGGACCGCAATTTATTCAACGAATATTTGTAGTGATCCTAAACATCAAATTGAAGATATAGCCACATCTCTCACTTTATATATACATTTAGAGTATAAGTGCAGAGAAAATCCTTTATTTAAGCATTGCCACGTATGAGAATTGAGAAAGAGAGAAATTCAAGCTACCAAAGGGGCAAACTTCTTGAACCAATAGCCTATACAACTCTTTTAAACAAACACATCCTTCAAACAAAATTAGCACGCCCCATTCTCCTCTCAAAACTTCAATATGCTTTAGAAATTATATACATTTGGCGTAGGAAGTGAAGTATATGACTAGGTATTTATAGGAAAAAAAAATTCTGAATTTTTTGATATTTTTCTCTCTTTTTTTAATTTTTTTGATATTTAAATTGATCACTAACGTAAGTATAACATTAGTTTGCTCAGGCAAGTCTTGCTCAATTTCTTGAGCCCACTTTTTGCCAATGCAAAAGGTAATGGGTGGAAGTTGTTTTTGGAGCCTACGTGCCAAAAGGTGATAAGTGGAAGTGCTCTAAGAGAAAGCTGATGAGACAAGTCAAGGACTGCAATTTTATTTTTTATTCTTTAAAAAGATTTTTTCAAAGACAGATGATCAAGTTCATCTTCAATGGATTCTGTACACTACTAGCCAATTAAGAAAAAAAGGAATTTAGGTGCACCACCCAGATCAAAACTAAAAGCTCACGATATTTAATACATTGATAAGCCAATTCCCCCAACATACTTCATAAAACTTACTACTACTACCATACCTTATGACAAACATAAATCCGGAATTTCAAGAAAATGCCAACAGACCATCCATGACAGAATTACATTACCCTTCAGTCGGATTTCCTCCTTGGTCCACATCATATTCATTATCGTCCCCATCCTCATCCTCGTCCTCATCCTCGTCCTCGTCCTCGTCCTCATATATGCTGCTCGGATGAAACCTACTGACTTCACTTTTTGCATCATCTTCACTAAGAAATTCCAGTCCGTACTTCGTGTCTCGGTGTTTAACCAAAAGCCAGCGCAGCAATCTATCTTCCTTGTTCAAGTAATGCAGCTCCTTGTTGATGTTAGGTGTAGCCATCATCGTCATTTGCATTAGTTGACCCTATACCATATACCAAATTCATTTAAAATAAAATTTTATCTGGTCAACATGAGATAAGAATTGGTTTGTATTCAGAAAGAAATACTAACTAGACAACATACGGAGATATAAAAGAGGACAAAACCCCATGAAAGTATCATCCATGATTTTGCCATACATTGTACTTTCTAATTGCTGGGTATGAAATACAAGTTAATTACAGGAAGCATCAGTGGCATCTAAAGTTATAGCAACAAATTCATTTTGAAAACATCCGCAAATGCAATACAACAAACAAAACAATAGGCTTGCTTGCTCTCATATTGCAAAATGAAACAATTCAAACAGCGAAAAGAGGCCTGAAATCTAAGTTACACTAACAACGACGTCAATCAAACAATTCTAATTTACTACAAGGTTGCAGAAAAAACCAAAAACCAACCTGATAATATCTGCCATCAAGCTTCTTAATACCATAGCCCAACTGAACAGTGCCAAATGACTTCATGTCAGTAAGAACTCCATTTCTTCTGTAAACATGTTTGCTTACTCTAGCAACCAAGTCCATCAGAGCCTCCTTCCTTACATGGGGTTTCACCAGCAGCATACAATCATACAGAGGCATTTCTTTCTCTTTTCCTTTCCTGTCGTGCAGCAGCTCAACTGGCTGGCTCTTTAAAACTGTACAGAGTCATATACACAAATATCATTAACAGAAATCCAAGCCAACAAATTATAAACCCTAAAGAAATTAAAACAATGAACTTCCAATGTTTTATAATTTATAAAATTATATTCACAGATTCACAGTCAAATTTGAAGTTTATTACCTCCATAAAAAAAAAAAAAATTTATCAGGAAAACAAAGCTTCACACGTAATAATCTTTATGAATCAATTATAAGAAATAAAAAAGAGAAGCAGATCATCATGTTCACAGCTCACATGTCCATTGGGCACCAAATAAAGATGAAGATTGAAAATTTACAGCAGCCCCTCGAATAAAAAGGACTAATGTAAAGACACTAGCATATACATAATCACAACCACCACAACTCATACCCAATATCAACGAACCCCCAAAATAAACAGCCCTAAATCCCCAAAATAAACAGCCCTAATTTCATCACAGCCATCCCTAAACTTGTTTAGTTGAATAAAAGATTAATAACTAAGAAGCCCTAGAGGAAAAGAGTACCCAGTGCCTTGCCTTGTGGAGTGGTTGTGCTAATTGGAAGGTCTGCGAACAACAGTGCAAGAGTTGCACTTTTTCCCTGGCTTGCAACTCACAAGCAGTAGCAGAGAACGTGAGATACAGAGTCACAGAGAGAGAGAGAGAGAATGAGACGAGACAGAGAGAGACTGAGAACAGAAGAGTTGAGTCTCAGTTGGTCGACGGCGAGAGTGTAATCGAGGCTGAGGTTCGAATCCAAGGGGAGAGAGAAGAGAAGAGAAGAGAAGAGAAGAGTCCGTGAGAGAGATGAGATGAGATGAGAGAACTGAGATCCAACGACTAGGATTGATCCAAGATAATTAATCCTAGCCGTTAGATTAATCTACGGTGAGTTCCTATTCTCAACTCCAGTTTAGTGGAGCCAAAAAGTGATAAATTTCGACCAAAAAAATAAGAGTGATAAATAAAGGGACCTTTTTTCTCTTTCCATTTGTTTATAGCTTTCAGGTGGCCTTTTGCCAAATGGTTCAATGTCTGGGCACCATCCGGCCCTCTCCTTCTCTAAGCTATTTTGCTACTTACAAACGCCAACTATCATTCCGTAGCTCCCCCATCACAGCTCCCGCAAATGGGTTCTCTCCCTTCAGACGAATCTTCAATGCTTACCTTCAATCTAGTAAGCTCTACCATGTTTTCTTGATTGATTATCTACCTCTGATTTGTGGTATTTTTCATTTTTGATTTCTGGGTATCGTTTTAATTCGCTCTGATCTGTTC